TACTATGGTTTTGGCAGGACAAATTATTGTTCTAATTATTGTAATACATGCTGCAGTGTACATTATTAATGCTTCGGTGGTTCGACGTTGAAGAGCAAATTTATTGATTGTATTACGAGTGTCATCATGCTAATTCGATTGTGTTTGATTACAATAATAGTCGTATCATTATGGGGTGGCAGACCGTTGTAGCAATAATAACAGTAATAATAATCATTGTCATCAGTTGGACGCGAAATGTTCGTAAAATAAAAACCACGTGCCATGAATTATGTGTGTGTGTATAATATTATGTGTATAGACGAGTGGTCGAATTGGATATACAATTGATAACCGTGATGATATAATAGGTACTGCAGCAGCTATTGTAATAATGCCCTCAATTCATGATGAATTACGATTATTATTATAATATTATTATACTTTTTTAAATGTATATTCATTTTGTTTTTAGTTTRTATATTCGACTTGTATTATARGTACTAAAAAACAACGGTTTCGTCCTGCTTTTAGTTTATTTATTTCCATTTTTACGAATSCGCATGCTCAATATTTCACCACGCATACTTTAGACATGTTTTAATTACTATCTATACATCAATAATATAGGGTCATATCAATCCGATATAAAGATCTAACTGGCTTGTTATGTATTTAAATCTAACACACTGTGTAAATATTTGAATTGTAGAGTTGGTACCTTTTTATGCACAGTAAGTATGTAATTATGAACATACTTTAAACATGACTCACGTTTTTTCGTCAATTAAAACGTAAGTGATTAGAACCGTCCATAATAGTAAATTAATTTGTTTAATACAAAATCAACTAATTAACAGGTTACACTATACGCAATCCTCTATAGTCTATTTAGAACGAAACTTAGATGTTCGATTATTTTCGAAATTTTACCAAAAACATTGTACCAAGTTATACATTAAAAAAAATTAAAATCTAAATAATTCTAATTTTATCAAAAAGATATATATATATATATAAATATTTATGTTCAATCGTAAATCTTGATGATTTACATCTACTTGATGATCTTGCACAGAGTACATTTCAAACTAATAAAGCCCTTAAAAACAAAATTCTTTGTGGGTAGTAGGTACATATACTATATATCTCTACCAAGTTGTTATGAATGTTATACGTTTAAACGCAATCCGGGTACTTAACGCTTGTAAGTCATTTTTAAATACACAAATATACAATTAATTGAATAAATTGATAAATAATTTGAAAGAATAACATTAGTCAATTATTGTCTAGTGATATTATTTCTTTCAGAATTTCTTATAAGCATCATGCATATTAACATAAATTTATATTGGACCGAACTCGGATCAAAACAAGAAAATTCAAAATTTTTAAAATTGACCATTTTAATCGACAAAATATAATTGCATTAAGCATAATAACTATAATGGCTCCTGCTGTTGAGTTGTATTTAAGTTCAATAAAAACTAATATTGATATACATTATATGGTTACCGTCTATAATGAATACGTCACTTATWGCTGTATCTTTTGCAAAATAATTTTTTTCAAACTCTCATTTACATTTCAAATTTGGTGTTTSGATATTAGCGCGCGTTAGGATAGTACAGGAACGATATTAATGTTAAATTTTACTTGGGTGGGTTTTCACAAAGTTGACCGTACGTTCATAGTTACAGATAGTTTGATAGTTATCTGACATCATATGAATAAGTTAACATCATGCATTTGGATTGATATTTTTCTTTGAACCTAYAGAGTTTTATTATTTCACCTATACCTCCGTAAATTCAACTAAATGATTGATTTAATTTATTTTCAGACAAAATTGATGGTTTCAATAAAAAACACGGTTGTTCTGGTAAATCAAAAAGAGTACGAACAATATTCACTCCGGAACAATTRGAGAGGTTAGAGATGGAATTCGAACGTCARCAATATATGGTGGGTCCGGAAAGACTATATTTGGCTCACACATTACAGCTAACGGAAGCACAAGTGAGTACGAGACAAAAAATTATTGACTAAATATCTGACGATGATATTGTTAAAAGGGTTGATGTATTATGTTGTTCAACCCTCAAATCACTCGTCTTACTTTGTTTAAATTATTGCAAAAGTTTAGACAGAGAATCGATAATATTGTATACATAAACACGACATAGATGTTTTCATTAAGATATACGTTTTTAAGTAATAAATCACTAGAGATGGYGYCTAAGATAAATCCAGCAAAGAGTATGACAGGGTAAAATTTGGACAAGAACTTAGTTTACCGAGAACTTTATAGAACTCTAAGGGAAACGTACACGGAAAAAAATAATTAGTTGTGATAATCGATGAACAATTGGTACTACCCAATTTTTTGGTTGTATATATGACCACCAACCTTTYGGTAATTGTTACAATATATTTTATGTAAATGGTTTCTATTATAGCAACAGAATAATGTAGTAGGTACATTTATTGTTAGTTGCGGCTACCGATTAAATGTATTTATAACAAGATCATTTTAGTTTATKTAAACAAGGGATATGTTATCATTACCATATATCTTATATATAAGAATGAAATATTTACTAGTAGTAAAAAGTTAACTACTTTTACCTCATTTTTAACTCTACTCATATGATAACGATTATTTTTATATTAATTATGTATTATGTACATAGGTATTAGATATGTTACGAATCATAATATTTAATGTAAAACCGAACTTTTATTTAAATTAACAAATTCGAACAGATCTGAACTTTCACATTTTTAATCGAACCGAAGTCTTCAAATATCTTATCGAACTCGAACCGAACATTAAAAAAATCAAAATAAGATATTATTCTATTATATCATTTAAAATATATTGATATTTAATATTTATTTGTTATTTCTCTAATTGGATTATCGAATCGAACTATTATAGGTATTTGGTTCGATTCGGTTTGAAGACCAAACAGTTCGTAATATCTCTAATAGGTATATAATAAAAAATTTAATAATTTGTAAAAAAAATATTACATGACAGCATTTTATTTGRTTCAGGTTAAAGTTTGGTTTCAAAACCGTAGAATAAAATGGCGAAAACAACATCTGGAGATACAGCAACAGAGGTTGGCCAATATACACCAACGGAGTACGCAGGGAATGGTCCAAGAGTGCGAAGAAGACGAGGATTCGGAAACGGAAACGAATAATTGTTCATATTACTCATAAAAAAAATGTTACGAAAAAAAATGTATAGTTAGTTTACCATAAGTATGTGTTTAATGTTGAAACGTGGCAAGTCCATCCATCGTKGTTTTATGAAATACATGTAAATCACTACAACCTATATAAATCATAGAATCGCGTTTCTCGTGAAAACGTCCGTTTTTTCACGATATCAGGCAAAATTTTTAAAATGAAAAACTATTATAATTATATCTATGTATAACCGTAACATTGTATAGAACTGTGGAGAATCATCAAAATTGATTTTAAATGCAAACTGATGCCAACACTGGTGATCTGCAGACRGRATTTTGACGATAGCGTGAAACCTTTACAAATTGTTGAAAATCTAAATATACACACTCTATATTCCATGTGCTTAATATATATTGCAAGATCGTTAATAATTAGCATATATTAGAATATAATATATAGGTTAGATGTTCCATTATTATTATTTATTAAATATTACCCATGTTGATCAAATGTAAATATATATATTCTACAATGTTGTAAATATAAATAATTAAACGTGTTTAATAAATATTATTATTGATGTTATTGGAAATCAATAATATAGTTTAAATTTAAACATTTGTAATATTATAGTTTTGTATGCATTAAAAAACCGTTTCAGCATCTTTTATTCAACATTTTCTACAATAATCAACATAATATCAAAACGATTTCGGTAAGCAGTTAAGTATAAGCAAACATTGTTATCCTCAAAGTAACACATAATTATAATGCATGTGTGTTCATAGGCAATCAGGTGGGATATTGAAACAATTAATTTACATTCATTATTGTAGATGTTTAGAACATTTAAATAGTTAAACAATTTTGAAAGGAAGAAACAGAACACCTTTAACTTCAATTAGGTATAAGTACTGTCGGTATTTTCTATAGTTTAATGTTTTCAAGAAAAGCGAAATCTAAAATATAGGTTTCTTACTTGTGCAGGTAAATTGTTGAGTGTTTAGCTGTTCAAGTATTTTTATGTTATATACAAAAACGGAATTACTAATAAAGATTACACAAAAGTGTAAACAAAAAAAAGTAAGAATGGTAAGCAAAAAAAAAAAAAAGATTAAAAAAGAACCTTAAGGAATGTTTAAAAACCACTGGTAGTACAGGAATTTTGTTTAAAATACCTTAACTTCCAATCCGAAAAAAATAAAATAAACTCGTGTCTTTAAAACGATACCTACTTACTGAATATATTAAAAATGTATGCCTAACTAATATAAAGTTTTTATATTGTCTTTGCATTATATATTTTTCTCTTTTGTTTTTACTTATAGAAACATATTATTAAAAAATTGCTAACCAATATGTGTAGCATTCAGTTCGTTTCAAACACTTAAACGCAAAATACAGTTTACTAATTTTAAATTTTAATTAGATTTATACGAATTTAAGTTGAAACCTGAAACTAAATAATACATTTTTGAGATTTCCTCAATATTTTTTTTGAAAATATTTCGATTTGATTAGGTGTTTTTTTGGAAATGTAAACTAAATGTAAACTTGTGGAAATGTTAATATTCATAAAACTACCGTTCTATTTATGTAGCCAGTAATTGAATTTATTATGTTTAATTATTAGGAACACAGAAAAAAAAAATCATTAATTGACCAAACGCAGTTATCGAAATTATTAACTACATACCTAAAGTGATTTTGGAAATTMTATTATTATTCTATATTTGGATATATTATAGTTATAGGTAATTTGTGCAGGAGGTGGTAAAGTTAGTATATTCTGATGTAACAGCAGCAGTAAGTTTAGTTCAATAGTTACCAATGATAAAATAATAAATAACCTACTGGTATAAAATTGTAATAATTCATTCTGTCTGACATTTTAAAATGTATTAGAAAAGTAATGCCAGAAGTATAAATCGTTACGTTAGTAAAGTAAAATATTTGGTAGGTAGTAAGTTTTGTTCAGTGGAGACGTTCTTAAAAAACGTTCGATAGAGAGTCGAGGGTGAATATATTACTTTAATATCAAAACTATTTATCACCGTTTCATATAAACAATACTAATTTTCAAATGATTATCAAACGTATTATTGTTTGTATTGTTTGACGACTTTGCTTAGCAAAT